AAATTATTGCAATAAAGAACAGAGCTAAAGACTTTTCTAGAGACAAACATATTATAGTTTGAAATGGTACCTGAGGCAGAGCGGCGATAATAAACTGATTAAGCTCTGATATTATCATAGGCTCAACCTTTGCAAAGCCTCTCAACAAAGATCTGATATGTTCCAATATCATCTGTGACCAAATTGTAGTAATAATGAGTAGCCCGTAATAATGAGTATCCCGTAATAGTGAGTATGTTTCTTGATGTAATCAAGTAGTAATTTTTCAAATGCTTACCTGTAAAAATTACTCTCGCCAGCATCAATTTTCTTGTCAAAATAGAAATGAGTCCTGGAGATTTAAGGTGTGTCAGTCTTTGCAAAAGCATCATGGTGGATATCAATTTACAAAATCATAAGAAGTAAGAAGTAAAATATAACTGGGTTTCACAACTGTATGAAATAATACCTCACACAATCTTGGAATTAATGTTTGTTGGAACTTCAACTTGTGGATCCACCCGGCAAGCTTTCAAGTTGTTTGTGAAACGACAGAGCTTGAGATTCGAACACACTCAAGGTGACAAAGATATCACTACAAAGGAAAAAATACCCTCGGAGACACCGACTCGGACTGATTTCCTCACTTTGATCTACAAACACAGCCTGATGGTTTTTTTCAGAGATCGAAACATACCTATTTATAGTTGCAGAGACACGGACTGGGAGTTATTTCCTCACATTGATGTCGTGATCGTGGGGAATGAGTTATTACGACGTTAATAGGGTCGATCGTAACAGTTGTAGACCGAAGAAGAAGGAAGTCGAAGAGGCAACTTTCTATCACACAGAGCCATCTCGGCCAAACTTGGCTTCGTCTACAAACGACGGACAACAAATCCCTAATTTGTTTACACGACACCGTATGGGAGGCTGATGTTTAACCAACGGACCAGGCCAAAAATACATGTTATGGGCTGCAACTGATCAGAAGCCCAAACAGAGGAGATGTTTTTTGTAACAAAACGCAGAGTTCAACATGGAAGAGGCACGTGTCATGCTCTGAGAGAGGTATTTGATGACGTGGCAGAGGCATGAGGGAGTGAACATTTCTTTATATATATAGATTCATGGCGTTGACCCAAACACTTGCTTATCCGGTTCTGTTTTGTCCTGGCTTTAGAACTTTGTATTATGCGGAGCAGAAGACTTACTTTTGAAGGATGTAGAAACAGATTTAATTTTAAGTGTTCAAGGTAACATACATATTAGTGTATTTATAGACAGGCCTGTATATAGAGTAACGCATTCTGGCCACTAAACAGTTTTCTCTAGACTTTTACGTTGAAGTGTTAAAGAAAACATCCGTGGTAGTCAGGTAGTGGTGCATGTGTTTATGGTTGGACAAAATATCGATAAATTTTGATTCGATTCATTATTAATTTTGATTTGAATCGAAAAATCTAGATATTCATAACTCTACGAAGCAAAGAATGCAATATCTATAAAAATAAAACAAATCACAAATACTAATATGTTTAGAAACAACTATCCGATCCGATCCATTATTATATATATATATAACAAAGTATATGTAATATTTTATATAAGTTTTACAATGTTTTAATTTATTAAATTTATTATATTAATTATTAGAATTTTAAAATTAAATATTTTCTTTTATTTAGTGAAAAATACTATTATTTTGATTTTTTATTCTTTTAAATATTTTTATTTTATTTTTCAGCTCTAGTCGAATATCCGATTAAAAATCTATTTTTTAATATCTTAAACAGTGTATATCCAAATAATTACGGATCAAATCGAATCAGATAATTAATTATCGTCGAACGGATAGGATGACTAATACATCCAAATACTCTTAAACTATGTGTTTTATCCGCACATGCAGACTTAATTATATTTAAGTCAATTTAAAATATGAACAAAATAAATGATTATTTGCATCCAAACAATTCGACCTAAAACATTATACTTTTTTACATTGATAAAGTTATTTACAAATTAAAAACAAATCTATGTTTTCCTTTAAAATTTTGAAAAATCTAAAGTCTATTTCATTTCTTCTTAATTGATAAAAAATATAGATATCTATCTTTCATTTTGAAAAATTGAAACGATAAATATACATTCAAAAATTGATCTTACAGAAAGAATAAAATTAGTTTGGATAATAATAAAATATATTTTAATTTCTTTTTGTCAAACACGTATTTTTTTTTCTTTTTGAACGATCTTTTGTTTTATATGATTACTTCATGTTTAAGGTTTAACTATATAAAATATAAACATAAATTTAATTTAACATGTGAGTTCAGAGGCGAAAAATAACTTCACAAATATATATGATTATATTATATTATTATATTATTTTAGTTTAAAAATAATTACATATTATAATTTTTTCAATTTTCTCTTTTGAATTATATACAATTAAAAATTTTACTTTATGAATATTTATTTATGTGTTTTATGTTTTTGAATTTTTTTATCAAAAATATATTTTCCGGATAACAACACAATATATATAAGAATTATATTTTTATTTTATTTTTAAATATTTTACTTTATGAATATTTATTTATGTGTTTTCTGTTTTTGAATTTTTTTAGCAAAAATATATTTTCCGGATAACAACCCAATATATATATAAGAATTATCTTTTTATTTTATTTTTAAATATATATTTGGATTATGGATAATTTTTATCATTATTATTAATTTAAATAATTTATCTAATCAAATAAGTATTAAATTCGTTTTTATTTTTAGTTAATTTATATATTTTATTCATTAAGGGTATAAACGATATTGATCACTCCAACTTTTAACGTGAGAGCTTCGTTGTGAAAAATCATTTCGCAAATAATAGTATAGATTCCGTCATGCCCACCCCTTGTGTTTGTTCGTTCAACATTTATTTTTATTTTTTGAGCAAAAGTCAACATTTATTTATTCCTCAAAATATTCCAGACTCCAGTCAGCCTTAATCTCATTGAATAATGACTTAGCATTTAAGAATTCTTTTTGTGGAAGGTTATCCATATATAATCATTCTTTTTTTTTTTTACTGAACCATATATTATCTTTCTATTCAAAACGATGAGAATGAAATAGATACATTTTATTTTTATTTGGTCTGGCCAGTAAAATTCAAAGGAAATAAATGAAAGAAATCTAGGTGCATATAAAAAAAATCACCAAGAAAATTAGCAAAATGATACATTTTTTTTTATTTGGTAGCTAAAAAAAAACGAATTGGCTTTACATTTTTTTTATCGCAAATGTGATTAGGTGACTAATGCAAAAAAATTTCTGACGCGTGCCAGAAGAGGTAAGAGTATCTCAAAATATCATAAACATTGACTATGTTTGTGTATATAACGTTTGTCATTTACTCTTCTTTGATTCAGCTTGTAAATCTTTTCTCTCTTCTTCGGTTTCTCCTCTCAAAATGACAAGCTTTGACGCGGTGCATAATCCCTCGGCGGTGGAATCTGGTGACGCCACCGGGAATAACATCGACGATGATGGTCGGGAGAAGAGAACCGGGACGTTGATGACGGCGAGTGCGCACATAATCACAGCCGTGATAGGTTCCGGAGTGTTGTCATTGGCTTGGGCAATAGCACAACTTGGTTGGGTGGCAGGAACACTGATTCTTGTAACTTTTGCCCTCATCAATTACTACACATCCACTATGCTCGCCGATTGTTATAGATCGGTCGCTGGAACACGTAACTATACGTACATGGACGTCGTCCGATCTTACCTTGGTACGTATTGTTTGTCCTTATACATGTCAACTACTACTTTTGTAATTTGTATGTTACCACAAAATATAAACAAAATGGTATATTTCATAAGCTTCGAAAGATCTAATCTATTTTTCCCTAGAATATGTGTAATATGCTTTTGAAATGGATGCATAATGAAGAACTATTAAAAAATATATATATGACTATGGTTGGTCGACACTTGTTAGTTTTCTATCCGAAAATTGTTTTATTCAGATGTGATTTTTTAGATTAGCTTAAATTTGAGTTATAGAATGACTTTTTAATGTAAATTAAAAAAACTACAGGTGGTAGAAAAGTGCAGTTATGTGGACTGGCACAATATGGGAGTCTCGTAGGGGTCACTATTGGTTACACCATCACTGCCTCCATTAGCTTAGTGTAAGTTGTTAAACAACCTGTGACTTGTTTCTAAACGTTAATTATGGTTACTAACATTTTATGAGGAAAATATTTGATTGATGTTGTGTTGGCTAGAGCGTTCCTGAAAGCATATTGTTTTCATAACAAGGGACATGGTGCGAAATGTTCCGTGGCGAATTATCCATTCATGGCGGTATTTGGGATCTTGGAGATTCTTCTTAGTCAGATTCCTAATTTTCACAAGCTCTCTTGTCTCTCCATTTTCGCCACCATTATGTCCTTCGCTTATGCATCTATCGGAATTGGTTTAGCCATTGGCGTTGTGGCGAGTACGTTTTCACTCCCTATCTTGTGTTTTTGCCTTTCATAATACTTTTGTAGAATAGGTTCAAGCAATTTCAAAATACTATGCAAATATCTTGATTCATACATTGTAGGCATATGATATGCATATGAATTTTCTAACTAATGGCGTGTAAAATGAAAGGTGGGAAGGTTGGTAAGACAGGGGTGACGGGCACGGTGGTTGGAGTGGACGTAACTGCGTCTGACAAAATATGGAAGGCGTTTCAAGCGATTGGAGACATGGCATTTTCATACTCCTTTTCCATTATTCTCGTTGAGATTCAGGCATGCATTCTTTTTCTATAGATGTTTTGGTGGGCATCATCAAAATAGTGTCTAGCTAGCAATTTTTACAGCTATTGCTTTTATTTGATTCTTCTTATTATAGAAGACAATGAATCGCACTCTGTATCTTTCAAACGGTTAATATAATTTCAGTGTTAAAGAAGGAAGAATACAATGAATCTCATGTATGTTACTCTTTATCTTTTGTAGGATACACTCAGATCAAGCCCACCAGAAAACAAAGTGATGAAAAAAGCAACCCTTGCCGGAATCTCAACTACAACTGTTTTCTACGTCTTATGTGGCTGCATGGGATATGCTGCATTTGGAAACACAGCCCCTGGTGACTTCCTTACTGACTTTGGTTTTTATGAACCTTTCTGGCTCATCGATATTGCCAATGCTTGCATCGTCCTTCACCTAATCGCAGCCTATCAGGTAACTCATAACAACAAGAAAAATTTGTATATATATATATATATATATACACGTTTTGAGTCTCTGACCTAGTGCCTACTACAAACAAAGCTGTTTCAACATCTTAAAACAATTTTGAAGTTCTCAAGATGTAAACAAACATAATGATGATGTTTTGAAATGGGCAGGTGTTTGCACAACCCGTTTTCCAATTTGTTGAGAGCAAATGCATCAAAGCATGGCCGGAAAAAAATTTCATCACCAAAGAACATTCGATGAACATACCATTGCTTGGAAAATGGCGCATCAACTTCTTCAGACTGGTGTGGAGGACAGCTTATGTGATTATGACAACAATTGTAGCAGTGATATTCCCATTCTTCAACTCGATGTTGGGCCTTATCGGGGCAGCCACATTCTGGCCGCTAACAGTTTACTTCCCGGTGGAGATGCACATCTCGCAGAGAAAGGTTCAGAAGTATTCTATGAGATGGAACGCGTTGAAACTACTTGTATTCGTTTGCTTGATTGTTTCGCTCCTAGCCGCAATAGGTTCCATCGTCGGCCTGATAAATAATGTCAGGGCATATAAGCCTTTCCACAGTTAAGATTAGTTACTTGTAACCAAAGATATCTGAATTTTGTGGGACCTATTTCTTTCAAGAAAAACAGTTGGTTGTTACTACAGTTACATATTGTTGGTGCATGTCTGTCTTAAATAATCAACGGAGTTGACCCAAACGCGTGCTTATCCGGTGCTGTTTCGTCCGGTTATTTAGAATATAGTATTTATGTGAAAGCTTTCTTCCGAATAATGTAGAAACAAATTTACTTTGAAGTGTTCAAGGAAACATTCGTAGTATCAGTAAGTAATGTTAAATAATAAAAAGAAGGGGTAAAAGTCTAAGCGAACACGAAATTTTAGTAAAAGGAGGAAAGCTTTGAGAATAAAAACATGTTTGAAGTTCAAAAAGAAAAATACATATGTTGGTCAATTCATGAGCCTACGCAAGACAAAAAGGACAAGGAGAGTATGAAATCAAAGGTAGACCTTCCGTTAGTAAAAATCTAATATAATGTGAAATAAATATTAAATGTTATGTATAAAATGACCACCATTTTTGCAAGTTCATGGACCGGGTAAAGTATTGACTTGTTTTAAAACAATTAAAAAGGCCTTAAGCTATCTATCTAAGGATAAATTGTTTAAGATATAAGTATATTTGATAGCTAAACTAGCTTAATGACTAAGCTAATCAACTTAATGACTAACCAAGATAATTTAGTTATAAATAGCTAAAGTTTAATAATTTTTATGAAAATATATTTAAGTTACTTTATGACAATATATCATATATATATTCATATTACCTCTCCATTGACATTACTCACATAACAATTTTACACAAGATATGCTTCCACATACACAAGTTTGAATAGTACCTCAAGTTTTTTCAAAGTCAGTCTCAAGAGTATATTGTGAATATTAATTTAGCAGATTTGTTTTGGATTATACAAAACAGTACCACGTGGCTTTATTTTTAAGATTCAAAAATCATAAAAAAATATGTCTCACTTGCGAATGAATGATTTATTGAGTTAAAAAAATAGATCAAATCTCGACTCATATATTTGTCTATTTCCTTAACACTTTCAAATGTTTAACCACATTATATTATCGCTCAACTTTTTTTTAAACACTAGATAACTATAATATTACAAATTATGAGAAGTTTTCAACTCGTTTTGTTACCTAATTTTCAATTTGGAATCTCACGTCCTGTAAATTCTTGTCCAAGATAAACATTAGTTGCTAAAGAAATTCCCAACATTGAATTAAGAATGATAGATATAAATAACTAAGACTAAGTCAAATGGTATACAAGGGAAATAAGTGAAATAAATATTTTATGAAATCTATATGAATAGAATGTTTATGGTAGATAAATCCTTTCACTTCTATGCATGTGAAAATGGAAACAAATATTCAAAATTTATAGATTTTAGTTTTTAGTTGAGTAAATATAATATTTCCATTAGCTTTAAATCTTTTTTGCAGACTATGATAACAAAAGTTCTGATTGTATATGAAATTGTAATGATGATTTTACTCTAAAAACCAATAGGGGTTGAAACAGATTTTAATCCCCATGGTTTAGTATCATGATACGTTTTTAATATACTATATAAGTATAGAATACAACATGTTAACTAACTTGTTAACATATAGTTTCAAAAAAACAAAAGGGGTTGAACACATTCATATAAGTAAAATCATCATTACCATTTCATAAACAATCCGAACTTTTGTTAACATATATTTCTGTTAATGCGGTAATTCGTTTATCTATACTATTATTTAAGAAGTAAATCTGCTTAGTTGTCATGTTCTCCATAAATTTAGGTGAATATATCATATTTTTTTTAAAAAATAAGATAACTCTTGTAAATTATGTTGTTATCTTAAATTTAAATTAAAATATAAAATTTATTATATTTATTATAAAAATAAAACAAATTTATATTAATAATTTTATATTTTTCTCAAATAAGATAATTCTTATGTATTATGTTAAAAATATATTTTCGTATTAAAAAACTTAAAATTAATATATAAAATTTATATTATTAATAATTTAATATAAATCATCAAAACAGTTATTTAAAAACTGAGTTTGTTGATTTGTCTCCATAATCCTAGGTAATTTTGACAATTTATCAGAATTTCTCTGATTTTATTTATTATTGACTATATAATTAAAACTAATTTATATTAATAATATGATATTTTAAAAACAAGTTGATTTTTATGTACTATGTTGTTATCTTGAAAATATATTTTTCTATTATAAATTTTAAAGTTAACATGTAAAAACTATCTATACTATTATTTTAGAAGTATTTGATGTTTGCTGATTTGTCATATTTTCCATACTTTTAGGTAATTTTGATAATTTATCATAATTTCTATATTTTTATATAGAATTTATTATATATTTTTAAAAAATTATAGCAATAGTATCAGATTTTTAGAAAATAAGATACTTCTTATATATTAAGTTGTTGTCTTGAAAATATATTTTTCTATTAGAAATTTAAAATTAAGTTATAAAAATTTGTAGTTATTCTATAACTGAAATAAATTTACACCAACAATATTATACTTTTTAAAAATAAGGTAAATCTTATGTATTATGTTGTTATATTGAAAATATATCTTTATATTATATAATTTAAAAGTAAAATAGAAAGTTATCTATTATTAATTAAATATAAATCACCACTCAAGAAAAAAATATTTAAGAATTAAATTAACTAATTCATTAAGTTCTCCATGATTTTATGTAATTTTAATTATATGTCATAATTTGTATAATCTTATATAATTAAAAAAATTATCATATGATATTTTTAGAAAAAAAATAACTTATGAATTTTTTTTGTTAACTTGAAAATATGTTTTATATTATAAAATTTAAAATTAAGATATAAAAATTATAATTATAAATTAAGTAAAATATTTGTATAAATATTATCATTAAATATAAATCAAGCAAAATAATTATAGAAATATATTCTTTTAAATATTTCTGATGTTTGAGTTTTGTCATTGATAATTATTTTATGTTTGATTTCTACTTTTTGAAAACATAAATAATAACTTATTATGCTGATTTTTAAATTAATAAAACATCAACTAATAAATATTCGTAAGAGAATTATGGCCGCAAGTATGGGCAAAACACCTAGTTAACTAGTATATGATTTGTCAAACAAATTAGTATATGATTTTAAGTGTTAGAAAATTATTATCACAGAAATGCCGAAGGTAAAGCTCATAAGGAGTCACTTAATTAAAGAATCGTTGGAGGCATATGAAAGAAGCACAAAATGTACAGTATTTTTCTTCTTTTCATTTTTTTTTTTTTGGTAAGAGGCAGGAGACAAAATGTTCCCTACTTTTTATTCAAATGAAAAAAAAACTGATCATAGGCAAATTTGCCGCGTTCTCGACACTCCATTACAGTCATCCAAAAACATAGGAGCAACAAGCTCAGGAACAGAATCAAATAAATGTAAACCAAACGGTAAAGAAAAAGCATAGTTAGCTAATCCATCAGCTAGATGATTAGCCTCTCTATACACGTGCGAAATTTTGACTAACCAGTCTCTTGATATGAAGCCATAGCACAAACGTACTAGGAAGGACAGGGGATGAGAATCATGGATCCCTGCTTGTAAAAATCCCACCACACACTCCGAGTCTACTTCAACTTCCAGCAGCCTAATCCCGCGGTCCCATGCTATGTATAGCCCATAGTATACACCCCACAACTCTGCAAGAGGAGCCGAGCAAATGCCAATATTAACAGCAAATCCCCATTTCCACGTTCCATACTCATCCCGCAAAACGCCCCCTGCTGTAGCCAAACCCGAGTTCCCTTTAGCTGCTCCATCTGTGTTTAACTTGAACCATGTATTTCCTGGTTTCTGCCATGTGATTTGTCTCGCCACCCTTATCTCTCCAGACGATGGGGCTCTTAGCTTCGAGTACGCTACCAGCACTTCCTTGGCCTTGTCTTTAACATACTCTACCCTGTTTCTACACTTTCCCTCCTCACCAAAAACATACCCGCACCGCCATTTCCAACACCACCATACGGTAACAGCAAAGAGAGTCGACCACTGATCTCCGTGAACAGATTTATCTCTCTCAAGGTTCTCGTAAAGCCATTCCAGGAGAGGCAGTTGAAAAAAGCGTTGTCTCCTGGCTGGGATCACGAGGCGCATCCATAGACCTGCTGCTGCCGGGCAGTCCCTTAACACATGGATAATGGTTTCTTCTCCGTTTTTACACAGCTGACACACACCAGAATCACTCAAGTGCCTCCGCTTACGTTCCATATTAGTCATGATAACTTGGTGTGTCACCAGCCATAAGTAAACTCGGATTCTCTCTGGGGCTACTACCCGCCACACTCGACTATATAGAGCTTCCATGTTTTGTCGTGGATCATCATCCCTAGTCAAAAGGGAGTAAGCTGACTTGACTGAAAACCTACCATCATTACTTCCTCCCCACGACATTCTATCAGTCACCCCGGTAACATCATCTATAACCATCGAAGACAATCTCAAACGATTCTCCATTGACATGTATGGTTCCACCTCTTGTAACCTCCAACCAGTTCCATTCTGCCATAGGTCTCGGGCTTCTGCCTCGAGCAATTCCACTGGTATATGAACTGGGCTCAACTCGTATAAGGGTTCATCTATAAGCCAGTTGTCTTTCCAGAACCGTACCCGGCGACCATCTCCCAAGATCCAACGCGTCCCCGGAACCACCACTTCTCTGATCCCCAACACCAAGCTTCTCCAAGTTGGTGACCAATTCCCCTTTGCGATCATCCATTGCGTCTCAAACATCTCCCCAACTCGGAACTTCTTTCGCAATACCTGGACCCATAAAGCATCATGAGTATTCAGCAATCTCCAACCAAGTTTTCCTGACAGCGCCACATTCATCTCTCTGGCTAACCTGATACCAAGACCCCCTGCATTCTTTGGTTTGCAAATTCTCGTCCACGCAATCAAATGTTGCTTTCTGTTTCCTTCACTACTTCCCCATATAAAAGCTCGCGAGATTTTGTCTAGCTGATTAAGAGTTGACGCCGGTAGCGCAATCGTGCTCATAGTATGTACTGGGATTGATGAGAGAACGGATTTAGTAAGTGTTATCCTTCCCGCAAGACTTAGAAATCTTCTCTTCCAACCCGCCAGCTTCGAAGAGACCTTCTCTACCACTTCACCAAACGTATCCTTGTTTATCCTCTTCTGTAACACTGGCATTCCCAGATATTTTCCCAACGCCTTAGTGCCTTTAATACCACTTTCATTGCTAATCGAGGTAGCCAAGTCATTATGGACATTATCAGAAAAAAAGATGACCGATTTTTCCAAGCTAACTTTCTGTCCAGAGGCTCCGCAAAAGTTCTCCAAGACCTTACGGATTACTCGAACTTGCGATACAGAAGCCTCTGCAAATAAGATCAAATCATTCGCAAAGCAAATATGCGACAACGACGGTCCACCCCTCGACAGTTTGATCGGTTTCCACTCGTTCTTTGCCACTGCAAACTCGATTAGGTGACACAATCTCTCCATACATAGGACAAATAAGTATGGAGACAAAGGATCACCTTGCCGAAGTCCACGCTGAGGTTTAAAAGCTTCTGTCCTTTCTCCATTCCATAGTAGACTCATCCCAGGATTGGTCACACATTCCAGAATCCACTTTATCCAAATCTGAGGTAGCTTCGCTGCGTGTAGTGTATCTTCCAAGAAGTCCCATCTGATCCTGTCATATGCCTTCTCGAGATCTAGTTTCAGAAGCATCCATCCTTTCCTTCCTTTTTTCCTTCTCATCGAGTGGACTGCTTCTTGAACAATGACAATATTATCAGAACTCAGACGTCCTGGAATAAAGCTGGCTTGCGCCGGACCTATGAGCTGTGGCATTAACTTCTTCAGTCCGAGCACCATTGCCTTAGTAATGATCTTGAAGAGAACATTACACAAACTGATTGGCCTGAACTGCATAATTCTTTCCGGCTTAAGAACTTTCGGTATGAGCACCACCATAGCATCGTTCATCCCTTCCGCGAGAACTCCTGTTTCAAAGAACTCCAAACCGAAACGAGTTACCGAATCTCCCACCACGTCCCATGAGTCTTGATAGAAGACAGGTTGGAACCCATCAGGCCCTGGGGCTTTGAATTTCCCCATGGATCGAACCGATGTCTCGACCTCCACTTCTGTAAACGGCTTCTCTAAAACCTTCATGTCATCCCGTGTAATAGCGGTAAACCCTTGCTGCGGAAGCTTCTCCGTATCTAGAGTAAGGTCCTCCGTTGAATAGAGCCTCTTGTAGTAATTAATTGCTAGCATTTCTAGCTCCTCTGAGTTGTCAATCCAACGGCCCTCATCATCCTTCAGCATCTCTATTCTATTTCTCTTCCGTCTTACAATCGTACTTGTATGATAATATTGTGTATTACGATCACCAAGGACTACCCATTTCTCTCTTGACTTCTGGTACCATAGCACTTCCTCTTGTTCAAGGACAACATCTAGCTCTTTTTGTAAGCATGCTTCCCTTGACAGTAGATCATCACTCGGTGTGTGCTCCAATTCATCCTGGATTCCGCTGATATCCCTAAGCAGTTTCTCTTTTCTTTGAATCACATCCCCAAAAATCTCTTTATTCCACTTCTTAAGCTTCTCCTTTAAGGACACTAGTGCAGCAGGGGTACTCATTTCCCCATTCCAAGACTCTGATAGGAGCTCTCTGAAACCTTCATGCTTGAGCCACGCAGCCTCAAATCTAAACGGTCTCCTCCTCGGATCTCCTCTCTTCTCGGGTTCCAACTGCACATAGATCGGTGCATGATCTGATGCTAGGAATGGAAGGTGAGACACCACTGCCTCCTGCCTTCTTACTCGCGCATGTGCGTTACAAAGAACTCTATCCAACCGCTTTGCTACAAAATTCCTCGTTTCCCTCCCTCTTCTCCATGTAAACATGTTCCTTTTAAACCCCATGTCCACTAGAGCTAACTCATTTATCCATTCTCCAAAGGCCAGGGAGTCTGGTGATAATCTCCCGTTTCCCCCTGTTCTCTCATCCAACCGCAAAATAGTATTAAAGTCTCCTCCAACCAACACCAAATCCTCTATATCCTCCATTACTCGCTTCAACTGCTCCCAAAGGCCACTCCTACGACTAACTGTAGGAGCAGCATAAACCGCAATGAGGTGCACTATCTCTGTCCCAAATACCACTTTAGCATGAACAAATTGATTCGACGATTCCAAAACCGTAAGCACACCAGCGTGACTTCTCCATAGTAGCCAAATCCCACCACTTTGACCAATAGCATCTACACGGAAGGAGTTATCAAACCCCAAACTCTGACAAATTCTCATCGCTCTATTTCCACTTGCGTGAGTCTCAAATAGCGCAAGGAAATCTGTGTTAAACTTTTTCAAAATGTATCTAATCGATCTTCTGAAGTTGGGTTTATTCGCCCCCCGGCAATTCCAAAATAAGCAATTCATCGTCATACTTATAACCAAATAGATTCGGACTACCGGGGCAATCTGTTATGCAAGAGACATGCCTCTTCCCTCCCCTTGCAACTCTGACTCAGACTCAGACTCTCTCTGATTTCTCTCACTACTCAAGCTATCCATCGGATTCTCCACTTCTTCATCCCTCAATTTCAACAATCTCGGAGCAACACTAACTTCCATCATGCTTTCCCGAGGCTCTCCCGTTAATCTCCCTGCATCCATATTCTCCACTCTCATCCTTTTCCCTGATTCTGAAAGGCTGATCTCCCCCCTTGTTGGGCCAAACACTAGACCTCTAACGGGCCTATTATTGACTCTCTTAGGCCTTCCCCTTCCTCATTCCGTCATTCTTTTATTCCCGGTCCACTTCTCCTTACTCTCCACCTTCGAAGTAATTTGTTCACTCGCTTTCCCTCCAAATATTACTACTTCCTTCTCTCGTAAGACTCCCTTACCTTTATTATGCTGGATATTCAAGTCCTGATTCTCTTTATTTCCATCTCCAGATTCTACCATCTCCGTCGATTCACCCATCTCCGTGACTCTCTCTAGACTGTCAAATTTGTTTGACACCTCAATATTTCCTGCTACCTTCCGTCTCGGGATTTCACGGGGATTATTGTTAGTTTCTCCACTTGTTTCCCCAGCTTTATCTCTTCCTGCCCCAATATTTTGAGTTCCTCTCCATGACCCCCTAACTTGAGTATACCCATCCTCATGTCTTGGTATGACCGGATCAGTAGTCGTCTTCTCTGTTGTGACTGCTAAATTGGCCATTTTCTCTGCAATTGTCCTTGGACACCCATGAACCAAATGGCCATAGATTCCACATTTTGAACAGATTTCTGCTAACCCCTCATAGGCTACAAAATATCTTTCACCATTAATAAGCACCGTTCCTTTCAGCGGCTTCGCAAGGTTCACTTCTACGCAGATCCTCGCAAAACGAGCTCTCTCAAAGTTTAACGTGGTAAGGTCCACACGTATTGGCTTCCCTAACCCCTTGGCTATTCCCATGAGAATTGATCGGTGATAAAAATTCACTGGAATATTTGTTAACCTGATCCAAACCGGGGTGGTAACAATTTCATCTCTCAACGGATCAAATTCCGGTTACCATACTCTCACCATAAGATAACTACCAAAAATCCTCCACGGTCCTCCCGACAGCGCTGCCAGATACTCATATTCCTTCTCAAAACGCACCATAAAGAACTGCCTTGGCAGATCCATCACATACATTGCTCCCTTCGGACTCCACAACTCTCGTAACTTCTTGCTCAAGGCAGCGATCGCGACATTCCTTCCCAGCACTTTCACAATCATACACTGTTTCCACAATCCATTCATCGCTTCTAACACCTCCGACTCTATCGTGATGGAGGGCTCCCCGTCTTCTCCATTCGGAAACTCGACTCGAAGCCTGTCCATGACGAAAGAATCCTCAATCAAGCTTTCCGGCACCGGCATCCCCCCCTCCGTCGTGCTCACCACCTTGTGAACCCACGAAGGCACAGTATCAGGCGGGTCCCCCTGTGGTTCCCCTCTCTCCCCCACGTCCACCATGTTCGCATCTTGCCCCCCGGGATCGAGAACCCTAGGTTCCCATGTCGCCCTAAAATCGCCGCTCATATTATTTATTATTGAAAAGCAAATTTTGTTCTTCTTTTCATTATCATTCAACTAATTTCAGTTATCCTCATTGTCATAAATGTAATTCATCTTCTTAAGAAAACTATCACTAAATGCAGTTTAAGAGATTACACGGTCACAGGCTATTCAAGGTTTTCAAAAGAAGTAAAAGCAATTACACAGAGAGAATCACGAGCGAGTCAAAAATCAAATAAAAGAATACCTAAAATAAAGATTCTCTACAATTAATAATACTAAGATTCAACGTACAGAAATGATCTTTCCAAATAAGCCTTGCTATCTGTGCATAGATATATAGCTCTCACCTCTCAGTATACTTTTGTAATAAAATCTGCCAAGGAGTCTCAAACGACTTGTGTCATTTACTCTCCTCTTTTTTTTGCCTATGTCTCCCTCTCCCCCTCCCACAATGAAATCCTTGGACGCACCCAACAATCCTTCAGCGGTCGAGTCCGGTAACGCTGTAGATAAGAACGTCGACGACGATGGTCGAGAGAAGAGAACGGGGACGTTTCTGACGGCGACTGCCCATATTATCACGGCGGTGATAGGCTCGGGAGTGTTGTCTTTGGCTTGGGGTTTAGCACAGCTTGGTTGGGTGGCAGGAACCCTGATTTTGTTGATTTTCGCCATCGTTACTTACTACACGTCCACTTTGCTTGCCGACTGCTACAGAGCGCCGGATCCCATCACAGGAACACGCAACGACACGTACATGGGCGTCGTTCGAGCTTACCTTGGTATGCAATTTATTCTTATTCTTTAAATCATTTTTTATTAGCAGTATCCAAAGATTTTTTTTTCAGTTTTTCTATAGAATTATGTTTGTGATGAACAATTTAGTCTATAGATGGTATGAAGATATTCTTGTGAAGATGTTTTTGATTTTTTTTCCGTTTTTGTCATAAAGATGGTTCCAGGAAAAAATAAAGACCAAAGTAACGTTTTCATGAAAGATCAAAGTAATCAACAATTTTTTGTGTATCTTATCTGTTGAGGAACAATATTTGTGGTTTTAGAATTTTTATTTTGAAAATTCTGCATGCTCTTCTTGGGAAGATATATGAGTTAATTATCAAAATCTACAAAAACTAAAATAATTACGCAATTTATCTTCTTTCCAAAATTACTTAATGAATTGAATTTTGACTATGCGTAGGATTATCCCATTAACGAATGCTCTCATTAAATTTGATTGTTGGTCTCCCAACTTTTTTGAATTCAAAATGAGAAATGGATCCAACCTTATCCACAAAACAAAAGGTTATCTACTTTTTAAAATCAAAATATTAGTGACAATATATAATTTCGATGATTAAGTCCTGCTTCTTGTAATTGCTGCTGTTGATTGAGAAAAACAAAAACTACTATGTAATATAGAAGAGTAACTAAGTTATATACTACATAACATTAAATGACAGGTGGTAAAAAGGTGCAGCTATGTGGACTAGCACAGTACGGCAACCTTGTTGGGGTCACTATTGGTTACACCATCACTGCCTCCATAAGCTTAGTGTAAGTTAGTTACACAACTGAACTCATTTCGATTACAACTTTTGTGATGGTAACTAAAACATGTTGTTGTGTTGCGTTGGTTAGAGCGATTGAGAGAGCAAATTGTTTTCATCACAATGGCCATGGTGTTAAATGTTCTGTATCGAATTATCCATACATGGCGGGATTTGGGTTCTTTCAGATTTTGCTAAGCCAGATTCCTAATTTTCACAAGCTATCATTCCTCTCCATCATCGCTGCGGTTATGTCCTTCTCTTATGCCTCTATTGGTATCGGTCTGGCCATCGCCAAAGTGGCAAGTACGGTTTCATTTCCTTTCTTCAACGTTTAAATGTTTAAATAAATCTTCAGCGTTCAAGCTAACGGTGGAAGTGGTATAATTATGTGGAAGGTGGGAAGGTTGGTAAGACAACACTGACAGGTACGGTGATAGGAGTGGACGTATCTGCGTCTGCTAAAGTATGGAACGCGTTTCAAGCGGTTGGAGACATTGCGTTTTCGTACGCTTTCACCACTATTCTCATTGAGATCCAGGTATCTACTGCTTCCTACTATCGCTCATTGAATATTTGCATTTACGGAGTAGTCATATATATATGATGTATTAGTTAGAATATGGATCTATTAATGTTTTTTGTTGTTGTTAGAAGTAATCTCTAACAACCGATTTGGATTTATTAGTTAGAGAATATGGATCTACTACCACCTCTATTCTCTCTTTCACCAAAAGGGAAAGAAGAAGGTGTCATTTACCTTGAAGTTGAAGATAAGATGTTACTATCAACTAGAGTAGTAGCCTAGTAGGCATGCATATACAAAAAAAAGCTTGACAGATTTAAAAACATTAATTATATATGTGAAGCTCTAAAATACTGAAGCTTAAATATATTTTTGTTTTCATTTCTTTGCTACAGGACACATTGAGATCAAGCCCACCAGAGAACAAAGTGATGAAAAAAGCAAGTCTTGCTGGAGTCTCAACCACAACTGTGTTTTACATCTTATGTGGTTGCATGGGATATGCTGCATTCGGAAACAATGCCCCTGGTGACTTCCTTACTGACTTTGGTTTCTACGAACCTTTCTGGCTCGTCGATTTCGCCAATGCTTGCATTGCTCTCCATTTAATCGGTGCCTATCAGGTAACTGTAGCATTAACAATTTCAAGCTCATTAAAACGTATCAATGAAAAACAAACACAAAAAGCTAACTGTTACAACATACTTACAGTTTTACATTAATTCTCTTGTGGTAGAAATTTAGATCAATAGTTGAAATTGAAAAGATTGTAGAAATAGAGTTGAAGTGCTTATAAATTAGAATCATTTGCTATTTCTAAAATGTAATTTTCGTAATCCTATTTTAATATCATTCGCAGGTATATGTTCAGCCTTTTTTCCAATTTGTTGAGAGCAAATGCAAGAAAAAGTGGCCGGAAAGCAATTTCATCAACAAAGAAATCTCGTTGAAGATATGTCATGTTAATCTCTTCAGGCTGGTGTGGAGGACAGGCTACGTGATTTTGACGACATTGATAGCAATGATATTCCCCTTCTTCAACTCGATCTTGGGTTTGCTCGGAGCACTTGCGTTCTGGCCGCTAACAGTTTATTTTCCTGTGGCAATGCACATGGCTCAGACTAAGGTTAAGAAGTACTCAGGCAGATGGTTGGCACTGAACCTCCTCGTGTTGGTTTGCTTGATTGTCTCCGCCCTAGCTGCTTTGGGATCCATCGTTGGCTTAGTCAAAAGTGTCAAGAAATACAAGCCTTTCAAGAATATACACTAAGTTACTTATGATGATCATGATAACAATTTGATATGAACTATAATTGCTTTCTATCAAAGTATTTTTATCTAGCGTGTCTTCGAATAATGTTGTAAACGTATTCTGTTGCGCCTTATGATAAATTTTATGAATATTGCTATAATAGTTTTAAGACTACTAGTTATTTGTCATCGGACGTTCGAGCTAGAACAGGAAACATGAGACTGTGACTTACACATGGCAATATTAATAACTAACAACATAACAGAAGTTAAATCCACATGACCAAGGATGGAAACAGTACAATATACATGTCACTAAATCGCATTGTTATCTATATCATTAACGAATTCAGAAGACTAAAATCTCTAGTAACTTGGTTTAGGAACAAAGAACTTTAAGTGTTCCGTTGTCTGAGAAAATGGATGATTAAGGTATTGAAATTGAGTGTGAAGAAGTTGGGTTCAACCCAAACATTCGTTTTTCATGAATACAAAAGTGTAGCATGTTCATCTTCTCAAACAGGCATGTAGCATGTTCATCTTCTCAAACAGGCAAACGCCAAACTAACTTCATTTGTAACCAACTAAAGTTAATTATCAGAATCTACCACGGACATTGAACATCCAACAGAAAAAAAGGAAATAAAGGAGCAACAATCTCATGTGTCCAGAAATTCTAAAATTCGATTTTCATCTAAATTTATACAGTTACAAAACCAAATCAAAGGCAAACCAAGAGTGACAAAGAAACTCACTCTTCACCTCACTCATAAGAACCCAAACCCAAAATAAAAAAAAAAGGTGGAAAGCAAATACGAAACCACACACTCCAAAACAAGAAACTCACTATATACAATCCTAATTTGTTAATGCCTTTTCCAGAAGAATTTTTCAAAAAGAAAATACTCCCAAGGCCATTTTTTGTGACTAAAATTTCAAAACATCAAAAACAAAAACTGAACCTTATTTTCTTTTTTCCTTCATCCCAGTGACTCACTGCAAAGCTCTTTCCTCATCCGTTGATTAAACAACCTACAAGCATCCATACTCAAATCAATCGCTGCAGAAAGCGCCACGTAAGCAGCTGCATCCTCCATACAGCTAACATGCTGCACACTAACCTCCACACAAGGCTTACTACACTTCCCTTCACCTTCAACACTCGCTGACATCACAAACCCTTTATAACCACTCCCCAACCACAACCCGTATCCATAATCCCCGCTCCCTCCTCCTCTCGGACTACTCGCCGGCGACGCTCCACCGCTTCCTGCACTCCCACACCGACGACTCCTCGATTTGTTCACACCACCTGTTGGCGACGATGCAGCCGATCCCAACTCAATCGAAAACTTCCCACCTCTGTGTGTACTAATACTCGACTCCGTAAGCACTATTCCCGCACCGCTTGATCCGTCTGGAATAAGCTCAAACCTGTAACCGAGCCCGTCGGTGGCTCCACCACGTTCTCTCCACGCCTCTAGTCTCCCCCACGGCTTCCACGTGCCGTCCCCGGGACGGAGGATGAGCCAAGAACCAGGGTTTGACCTGCTCACACGATCACTTCCAGGAGATGCCACGAAGGGTGTGACAATAGACGCCATAGCCACTGGAGAACCTGATAAATCATGGACCGTTATAGACCATCCTTTTCTCTCTTTACCAGGACGTTCTCTCTCGCTCCCGAATGAGTTAAGCCAGCTCCGTGGTACGCTTGTCTCCGTCGGCAACGATCTGATCAATAAAACAAACATATACAAAAAGAGTAAAGTTTTATTATACTAATGAATAAAATAAAAATGGTTAAAAAATACCACAAAGAGTAAAGTTATAAATATCACAAAGAGTAAAGTTTTATACTAAGAATAAAATGTGATTATTTCAAAAATAATGTATGGCGTTAGATCTTATGTTGCGCATTCCGATTTGATTCCTCGGGAGAATCGTTAAATTAAGAAATTTTTTAATTAACTCAAATTTCCCGACAAATGTGGTGAGATTGGTCGGAAAAAACTAACCTCGATCTCATTCTACGATCACCAGTATTCCGACAACTAAATTTACAAGTGAAAACCGGTTGTCTGATACTCCCTTGAATCTGAACAACCTGAGGACTACACTCTGGCTCCCCGTCGAACTGAAACACAAACCTAGGATCAGGCTCCGCCTTCACATTAAGATGAAACTGCGCCGAAGCCGACTCTTTCCCCGCTCCTTTCCCCACAGATATCCACCCGTTATGAAACACGACGCTCTGCTTCGTCCCCGCACCGGAGAGATCCAACGGCACGGAGACTTTCGCCAGGAGACGACCGGAGTGGACTCCGCAAGAAGCGCCGTCTCTTCCTATGTAGATGGAGATCTTGAGGGACGGTTTGGAGGAGAAGATGGATCTTGAAGCGAGGCGGGTGATGTCGGAGCTGCTGAGGTGGAACGTGGCGGCTAGGGTTTGGATCTCCGGGAAGTGAGTGGCTTCCAAGGGAATGTAGGGGATGGCTGCGGTTTGCGGTGGGAAGTTTTTGAGTTTGATTTTGCAGAAACATGTGGAGGAGGAAGGGTGCACGACGGAGCTTGATGTCTTCGCCGCTTGTGGAGCTTTTAGAGCTAGGTTTCCGATCGTGAGGCGGATGAAAGGACAAGGATCCATTTTAGGGTTTTCGGGTGAGAGATAGAGAGAGAGAAGGGGATAAGGGTTTAGGGAGAGTGAGACATTAATGGGAGGAACTGTAACGATGACTTGGGAATTAAGGTAAGGAAAAAAAAGAAGGTGACGAGTAAAACGCAGCGTTTTAATGGCGCCGCTGGATTTTTAACGACCTAACCACCAGCGAACGCTGTCGTCTTCTTTGGTCTGTAATGTATGTATTGTGCCTCTGGTTTTTATGTGGGGCTATTTACATTTCTTTTTTTTCTCTTTTTTTTTTGCATTCTCCCTCCTTCGTTAGTACCCTATATTTTCTGAAATTGTCGGATACGTCCTTATTCTCTCGGAACGTAAACATTTAGCACCAAATTATTATATAAACTATTTGACCCCAGTATATTAAAAGTTAGAAACTACAGCATCTTGCCTCAAATAACATAACAAAAGATAAATACGAAAAAAAATAGATCAGATAAATCACCGATGAAGCCTAGAATGTTTGATAAACAGACTAAAATTGGGTGAAATGTATGATTCAAAACAGTGATGTTAATTAGCTGACATTGTGATAATGTTACGCTCTTTTTGCAAGAGTTCCTTTTAAAGATTTAAATAGTTTCTTTTAATAGTTTTAAATGTGTACGAATAGAAGGGTAAATCCGAAATATAGAGTTAGTTGAAGGGTAGAGAGAAAAGGCGTTGGAGCACAGCTGGGAACAGGCTGGCAAGAGATGCCAGCTAGGATTAGAGGTTGACGCTGTCCTCTCTCTCTTGACTTTCTCTCTCTACCTGATCAGTGAGTGACCAACCACACAAAAACATGGGCCCCCACTTCTTTAAAGTTTACGAGAGTACCCTTACTGGCTTACGTGTACGTTCTCGTCTCTTTGTGCCTTTGATAAGAGGAATCTTTCCCGTCTCTATGCGGAGGTCACGTTTTTGTGTCAGTCACATAGTTTTTTTTTTTTAATATGTTCGTTTGTTGTTTATGGGCCGCACCAATGAACGTCCTTTCATAGTCGTCCGTTAACTCTCGATTCATCCAAGTCTCAAAGTCGAAACCAAAATCAAATTAAAACACCATAGAAGAAATGGTTAAGGTAAATTGTTAGATTCAGGTTTATTATGCGCTTCCAACTTAAAACCAATTGGTGATAAGTGGATTGGTCTTAACCTTTTATATATTACTCAGGTCCCATTGAATTCCCAATGTGGGATATATATCCCTAATACCCCTCCTCGATATGATAGCTCTTATCGGCCAGAAATCTCGGAACTTTAAGACAGTTATACTCGGTCGAGTGAGTCAAATACGACAATTATACTTAATCGGAAGGTTAAACACGACCTATATACCCGGTCGGAAAGGTTAATTAATTAATTAGGAGTTTAGGGCTTTTAGGATTTAGGCTCTGATACCATGTTAAATTCGGGTTTATTATGGGCTTCTAACTTAAAACCAATTGGTGATAAGTGGATTGGTCCTAATTCTTTATATATTACTTGAGGTCCCATTGAATTTCCGACGTAGGATATATATCCCTAATATAATTGTTGTTGAAGCACAGTTGATACAAAAAAAAAATGCACGAGGGGCATGTAGATGTTGAAGCAAGAAGAATGCCTTTGTACAAACAACCTCATGAGTGGCTGAGTCTATATAATGTTAGTATATTGAAAAGAAGAAAACAAAGGGAGCAAAATCCAGCTATCATCCACGATCCTCGTTCAGCATAAAGTATTAAACTAATCTAGTTAATTGAAGCTAAGCTAATCGTAAACGTGCACGCATATCTCTCGCTCAATCCCCAAAACAATTCTACTTTAATCCATATATTAAAAAGATATTAATGAATTATTATAGAAATGGAAGAAGAAGCTCAGCAATTTGTTTACGAATAGAATGACGCATTTACCTTTGCAGTAGAATAAAAATGTGACTGGCTATTTGATGCGGGTTTATAAAAAGGACGGTTTCCTCGGAAGTGTAAACACGTTAGAAACTTCATATACAGATGTGTAGTAAAGTTTTGGTGGTTCAAAATTTCAGGAGAGAGGAGTAAAGAAATGGTTTTTTCCAAATGAGCAAGAGAAAAAATCCTTGTTGTGTGGAGTTTAAAAGAATGGCCAAAAAATGACTATCATTTTCTCTCATGTGTTACATGAACTCCTTACAGTGACCATAACATAACATAACAGTGTGTGTATGTATGTAGTAAAAAATCTATAACTAATGTATTTCATCCATCCATAAGCGAAACACGAAATCTGCGATATAAGATAGGCTTATTTGTGTACTAACCAAAAAAAAAGTAAAATTAGTTTTGTAGTAAGAGGGAGGAGAGATATAGGAAGAGAAAGTTGGAGAGAGAGTGTACTTTTGGCTAGTTTATAAATTTGTGTTTTTTTTTGTAGTCATAGGGCCAAATTTCCCTATAAGATATGTGTTTAACGTCGCAAACAGATATTACGTACAAATAATATGATGTGGAGAATGTAACTTGAAATTTAGTGAGTTAAAAACTCAACTCACTGAGTGTTTGAAGTAGGTAGCTGCTACTTCATATTTCTACTGATCTAGTAGTGATCTTGCATAAAACAGGGTTATGGTTCTTGGAAGATCATGAAATAAGATGTAAGATGTTTACCAACGCCTACAAGATGAGCTCAGTATGAACTATTTGTTTGTTCTTCAAAATAAAATAATGAAGAAGAAAAAAAACATTTTAAAACTAAAGGGTAAATTAATGAATTAAGCGAGGACAAAAATTTGCAAAAAAGGAATAAAAATAAAAGAAAGGGAGAAGCACATCTGAAGAAGATCAAAGCACAAGGAGGAGGAGGCAGTTAACGAAGAAAGAGAAGAGGAAGATGAAGGCGTTAGGGTATTGGTTAATGGTGGTTGGTTCGCTGAGATTAGCTTCGGTTTGGTTCGGTTTCTTCAACATTTGGGCTCTCCGTCTCGCTGTCTTCTCTCAGACCACCAGTTCTGCTCTCTCTCCCCTCCTTTTTTAATCTCCATTTTCGAATTGTTCTTAATCGATTTCGTTTAAACGTTCAATGTCTTTTGATTCTAGTAGGTAATGTTCACATAAGAATCTATCAGTTGACTTACTTAGTCCCTGAGATTCTAGTCATACTTGATCACTGGTGGCTAATGTAATTTGTGTTTACTGTTTCAAGGGGAAATGAGTATGTCACGTTCAGAGGAACACATAGTGGATCTGATTTGTGCGTGAAAGTTTAGGTTTTTTGGTTTCTGTGACTTGTGTCTTCCAAAACGGATCCAGTTTGGGATCCCTAAGCTACAATATGACTTTGAAAAATTAATGAGGAAATTAGTACATTGCATTGTAAGGTCAATGGTTTGTAGTTCACAAGTCAACTAAAGAAGGAAAGTCTGATTCTTTGAACATATTCATCATCATCTTTCGAGCTCCTTTTCTTTTTGCTTCTTCATGTTCCTTTAATTGCAAAGTAGAGGTAGCTGGGATTGTAAGCAACATATGCTCAGATTCACTAGTTGCTTCAGGGAGTAATACCTTATTCTCTAGATTAAAAAAGTTGTGTCATGTCATGTGTGTTTACTATTTCTTGATCATTATGAATTATTTTTTTTATGTCTCCAAGATTGGTCTTCCTTGCAAGTTGAGATTTTGTATTAATTTACAAACTATCTTTGTTTGGGACACGAGAAGTTGTTCCAGCTTTTAGGAAGCTATGTTGGTGTCAATGGTTAGCTGTTTAAATCTGTTCGATCGCGCTAGTTATGACAACTTGTAGGATTCTTTATAATTAATTTTTTTTTTGTAGCTGCTGTGTGTTGATTTCATTAAGTTCAACCAAGGGAGTAACTTTATAGAGAACAATCTTTGTATCAGGTCTATATTTCTCAGTGGATCATGTTCATTGAATCTCTGCGACTATGGACCTTTATGAGAAAAAAGGTTCAGTGCTTGAATTGGTTAGACGGGATATGTAGGAAACAGAGATTAGTACCTTAAGATTAGCAAACCGAAGCAACATATCCAAGAATGATATAGAATTTCTTGGTGATGGAACTTTTGTAGTAAGTGGACCACCATGCCCTAGAAGGGGGAAAGTATTTGGATATTATAATTGGTTGGTTTTCATTACAGTTTACAGAGTCCAATGCACAATAAGTTTTTCTTGTGGGATCAGTATGCTTTTGTTTTTTCTTAAATTACTGTTGAAGTAAATCAGTGACCAGGTGAAGTGTATCAGATGATGTAGATGTATTAGAACATAAGCAACTTGATGTTTTCTGTATCCTTTGTAATTTGTGGTGCATGATTTCTGCATAAGGGATTGTTATGGAACATTGTTTTGCATGTGATTGTAAAGTCACTGAAGTGTTTAGTTTGTTGATTCTGGTATAAAAAAGTAGTAATAATTTTGCATCATATGAGAAAACTGAAGAATAGGAAACAAAAAAAAGGGTTTATCCAGAAAAGACTGTAATTCACATAGCTCAAGTCTCTAACTTTAGGTTTCCTTATGGTTTACAGTAATAGTCCCGTCCGCACGACTCAAAATGTTTCTTTCTTCTGTATTTAACTGTTTTGCAGTGAGTGAAGTTCATGGACGTACGTTTGGAGTATGGACACTATTGACCTGCACTCTCTGCTTTCTTTGTGCATTCAACCCTGAAAACAAACCGTTATATTTGGCTACCTTTCTCTCATTCATCTACGCCTTAGGCCATTTTGTGACTGAGTACCTCTTTTATCATACAATGACCATCGCCAATCTCTCAACCGTGGCCTTCTTTGCAGGTATGGCTCGTGGCAATCACCACACATTACATCACTCACTCTTGTAATTAATCAGTTAATTTAGGTATGTGAATGATCCTCATACTGCGTTGTTTTAAATGTAATTAACAGGCACGTCGATTGTGTGGATGCTCTGGGAATGGAACTCCCTTGAACAACCGCACTCCAAACTTTCTTGATGTTTTTATCAAGAGGACATGTAACTGATTATTTCTTCTTTGAAACTTCTTGAGAGTTGGAATTGTTTTCGGCTTTTTTTGCTCGATTTCTAAAGCTGTTGATTCATATTTCATTGCCAATCTTTGATGGGTCTTAACAAGACTTGTAGAACTTGCTATCTTCTAATAAACTATGGCTCAAAATTGTTAATCATGTGTTGTATGATATCTTCTCCAGCTAAATTGATCATCTTTGTTTTCACCTACAATGTTTTCCCATTTTGAGTATGAACGACTTCAACGTTAAGAGCAATGATGAAAATAAATTATATCGCCAGAGGACAATGAATTATGATGAGGAACACTTGCCTGAATGTTATTGTGAGCGGTTAATCTGAAACTAACATCAACTCGCTACCAACTCAGTTTTGTTAGTTTCTTATCATCTCCTCTGCAAAAGATGTTGTATCATGATGATTAGTTCCCAACTCAGTTCTACCCCACCAACTTGGGAACTGTCTATGAGTAGAGAGAACTTGCGCATTTGATGAATGCGGATGGTGTGATTAACGAAGCTGGGAAGAGGTTTCTTGACATCAAACGCGAGTGGTTAACTTCAGTGGATGGAGGAGGTTTGGAGTTTAGAGAAGGTTATTTGTACGGTGATTATATGAATACTTTTTTTTTTTTTTGAGAAAGGGCTTAATTATATGAAAACTTTATTGTTGACAAAGGCAATTCTCCGGTTAACATCACCATAGATCTTTGAATTCTTATATACACTTGATAAGTAAAGATGAACATACATTTGCTGTCGTGTAGACACAGTGTTATGATATATACCCTTATCTTCGCCTGTCTTGCGCAAGATGGCTTTTACCGGAATGATTTCTCTTCTTTACTTGCGGTATTTGCAGCACAAGAACCCAAATCCTTCGAATACAAATCTTTCCGCAATCAATATTTAATATACTAGATGATAACCCACACATTGCTTAGAGTGAGTGAATTATAAAACTATTATTTAATATCTATAGGTACATTTGTTTATTTTAGTTAATATTATATTTTTTAATGTTTTTTGTGTTATTAGATAGGTGCATTGAAATATATAATATGATATACAAATTCTTATAAGACTGAAGACAATTCTTTAACTTTATTATGAATGTAGAAAAAACAAAACATAGGTTTCAATAATTATTTGATTCATAATAGAATTATAATGATAATAATTAAAGTAACATATGTATCTGAAAAAGAAAACACCAAATAATGAAAAAATTGTCTTCAAAACTCCCGATGAACCATCATGTAGAGAAAAATACGAATAAACAAATTTATAAAACAAAAGACAGATATTCACTTTTCTCTACAAAATGAAATAATATACCTCTTTCTAAAAGCATCAATTTTGGTTACTCATTGGGTTAAAAATAATTTTTGAAATATTCTTCAATTTTCCATATCATTATAAAAAACATCAGGAGTTGTTTAACGGAATATAATATACAACACAATTTTTATTTAAAATTAATACAATACATTACCTACTCCCCAATTAATCTGCCAGAACTGTAACACGCAGTGTACAACGTTTGCATCTATAGAATTTCATATGGTTTGAAAAATATTAGCAAGTGCTCCATAAGCAACACACTTAATGATAACATTACTGTAATTAATGAAAAATATAATATTTCAGCAAATATGAAACTAAGTAAATCAATATATTTCGTAACAGCTGCACGTAAAACTTATTCAATGTTTAGTACAAAGAAACGAATTTTATGATTAATGAAACCATTGTTTCCATGAGTAAGTTCTGACATATATTTTTAAAGACATCCTATTCCAACTATGGCCTCATAAATATCTGGTTTATATTTAAAAATTACCAATCTTAATATAGACATCAATAACTATTAACATAATAAAAGCTTTCTTAATACAAATATATTAGAATGAATAGAAAACATACCAATGGAAAATTTAGGATTTAGTAAGCCACGCTATATGTTGTAAAAGTCTGGAAAACAATAAAAGTTGACCATGTAAAATGGATCAATTTTCGAAATGACAGCGGATTTGTCAAGGTTAATCTGGTGTCCGTTCTTTGTCAACCGAACACAGTTCTTTTTCAACCGAACACGATCTAATGCAAGAGCAAGACTGAAATTTTTTATTTCATTCTTTGAGAATGTGTTGAGGAGTATGAGCGACGGCTTCTTTTATATATACTTTTGTTTAAGAAAAATTAGGGTATGCACGGCCCCAAAAATTTGTCGTAATTCTCTCAAAACTTAATGCTTCATATACTCCTTTCCAATTATATTCAAACACTTTCCTATTAGCATACACGATAATAAAAAGGGGATTATTATGATAATTGAGAATGAATAGAACTTGACGTTGTTAACCAAATTCACTGAATCAATTAGTCATTGAATTTGAATAAATCAACAAACGAAATATGCTGAATTGATTCACTTATTTACACCTGAATTTTGAAATTTAAGGAAAGATTATAATGTTGAATTATTCTAATGTAGATTGATTATCAAAATTAACAAATCAATTTTTTTTAAAAGCTTTCAATAAAAAAATGTCGTGTATGCCAAGATTGCAATCAAAGCTCCCAACCAAAATGCACAAGAATCAGATAAATGAGAGCTGAAAATTAGGTTTTTAATATATTTTTATAAGTAATATAAATAATATAATCAAATATATAAAAAATTCTTAAATAATTTCCTTAAAATCTAAGTTGTATAAGGAACAAAACGAAAAATAGAAAAGTTGTTCAAAACCAGAAAAAAATGTTAAATCAAATAGTATATGACAATGACCAGAATGAATTTTACTATATGTTATATTACACGAAAATTATTTGATAATAAAATTATTATATTACTATATTTTAATATCCCCTTTATATATAGTAATATAGAGCATATAGTAATATAAATTGTTTATATATCTTTTACAAAGCATATAGTAATATAATACATAATACATATTTTAATATATTTATTTTATATGATCCATATTTGTAATAATAATCGATGATATATAGAGTAATATAATAATTTTATACAAAGCATATAGGAATATAACTGGTTGATATATATATATATATATATATATATTATACAAAACATACAGTAATAATACATAATACATATGTTTAGAAGTACGGAAACATATCAGACGAATATCATGAGATGACAATTATATTATCTGAATATCATCGAAGGTTAGATCATATGAAAAAGCTTATCAACATTCCATAAAAACTCTTCGTATTATATGAATATCATCGAAACCAATGTTATGTATCATCCGTTTGTATAGTATTTATTAAAACAAGTATGATATGATTATGTTAAATGATAATGACTGTGTATGTAATTAGTCTAGTAATATAAGAGATTTTTTTTTAAAAATGGACTGAGAGTGAATATGGTGTTGTCACAAAATGTCATGGGTGTAATAAATACATGAGTATAAAGCTAGTTTATAAAAATGTTTCTAAAATAATAAGAAGGGGATTGGTTCAAACGACTATTCTACAGCTCTAGAAAGAAAATAAAAACCTATAGGGACTTTGTGACGTTTGTACTTTCCTTTTTCATAACCATACGAATTAAGCTAATGTTAACAGATGGAGTTGTCCAAAAAATAAACAAAAGAAAATTCCTGACATAAAAAAATAAACAAATGTTAACAGATGTATAAGTGCTTTAGATGGCTTACAAAACCAACTTTACAAGTTTACTCTTTTTTTTTTTGCTTAAATCCATTTTTACAAGTTGACACGCATAGTTTTCTCATGTAACCCAAATATTTCATTTTCCAGATCGCACATAATTTTCAGTCAGCTCACTAAACTTTGCTAGTTTTAGTATGCTTAGGTTATGCCAAATACTAATATATCCTAATTAAGTAAATAACTTGTATTGTGGACATTGTCATATATCTATTGGATACATCGGACCTGTGGTTTCATTATTAATTACTATATTATACAATTATCTATAGTTCAAACTATCAGTCATACAGATTACTCAAATGCTAAACCCTCCAAATTAAATATCCAACTTTTGAAAAAGAATCTCTATAAGTAATCGTAGGCAGTGGATCAAAAATTATCATTCCTTAGTTGAGTAAATGTTACTAATAAGAGCAATCACGAAGGATCCATACCACCTACAATCTCATACTTGTCCAACTTCTCTGCATCTACCATGTAGATATTCAACATTGGTGGATTCTCGCAACCACCCATATAATTTCGACAATATTGTATCGAAAATCAAGAGACAAGAATATAAATGGGATGGCCTCAATAGTATATAGCAGTATCAAAAATAGAATATTGAAAAATATCTCATTGAATTGATGAAAGGAACTAAAAGTTGGTATACATTTAGTTCTCCATTGATATTTACGTGACATGATAGAGAGTCAGCACTCAACTGTAACCACACTTTTCAGTTTCTCGCTATTAAGGTTACAAATCTAATACCAAAGCACGAGCTCACAACAGTTTTTGTTCATATGGAATAACAGTACATACAGTCCACACTCGCACAAATTATTTTGAGAAATTATTTATCAACTTGTGAATTAGTAGAAACAAGTAAAATAGATGAATCAAATGTTTACAGATTAACTAACAGCATGAGGAAGTTTACAAAAAAAAAAAAAACACAGCATGAGGAAGAGTTCAACTAAAAGTTTGCTTATCCTTCTGTGTGACTGACTAAACTATCGTGTCAGTTTTGGAGATAGTTGGTATCTCTATCAATATAATGATATCTGAAAAATCAAACTAGATAGATGGATGATCTATTTATATGTTAGATAATGATTTTTAGATTTAATGTATCCAATTCTAAAACTTTCCATCATTAAGGTTACCAATTTTTCGTATGGTACCCTTTTTCTAAGGTCAGTTCTGAAAATTAGGAGATCTAAAACGATTTCTTAACGATTTTATCTAATTTTTTCTTTTACCGATTTGAGAGTCTAAAACTAATGTTTCATCCGGTTTAATCTAGGTTGACTCCTGCCCTTTTCCCAGCTACATTGTTTTTAGATATTTTAGTGGTAATGATAAAAAAACGTTTTAGCTTCAAAAAGCTAGTAAATGCATCTATCTTCCTCTCCTCTCTTTCTCTCTCTATATATCAATGTGATCGTCTTCTCTTGAACAATTTCTTCAGAGTTAGCACAAGCTTATTATTCATTTTCTCTAACCTCTGAAAATAGAATCATATAATAACATCTCATCTTGTTTCAATTTGGTACCTACACACATAAAGTTCATACAAATTCTTCATGGCTCTTCGCTGCTTATCTCAATCTTCAACAACTTTTTCTTATCTTTCTAAGGTATGTACTTCCACCCAATAAAACACTCTATTCTCTTTTTCTCTTTACAGGAACGAAACAACTATAACCTAATTTGATATACACTCTCTATGTTTTATAACAAGTGTCGTTTTAGCCTTTAAATTTTAATTTCACTACAAGTGTTGCTTTACATTTTAAATTAACATATTAAGGAGATTTAGTGGAGTTATATTTATAAGGATTGTTAAAATTTCTAGAGTCTTCGTCTAATTGATGTATAGTTTCTTACATTCTAACTAAAATATGGTATTATTTACTTAATGATTTCATAATTTTATATAATAAATTTGGTTATTCAAAATTTTTGAATTTTTAATGATTTTATAAATATATTAAAGTTAGTGTTATTCGAAATTATATTCTTAATTATTTAACTCATAATTTTTTTAAGAAAATATTACATGTATCATTTAGACTTTTAAAAATATTATAGTAATTCATTTTCATAGATTGTCACAAGATACAAATTCTCTTTAACTCTTTCCAAATTTTAATAAATCTCTCAAATTCTTAAAATCAACAAACACCACATAAATCTAGCTTTCACTAACACTTCCTAAATATATTTTTTTAGTTGTTACCTTTATTTTTGATTCATTAATTAACAAAAAATTGTATTTAAAGAGGTAAAACATAAAATTTAATATATTTTTAATTTGTTTGCAAAAAAACTTATAAATGAAATTGAGAAAATAATTTTAGTTGTAACAAGGACATTTGGTTTACCTAACTCTCACGCTTGTCTTTGTTGTGCACATGAAATAATACAGAACTGTGGATTTCGTATGCATGGGACCAAGGCAGCAGCTTCTGTTGTAGAGGAACATGTCTTGGAGATGGTGGAGGCAGAGCGGTAAAATACATATCCTTCTAATTCTAATACATTATACAACAACATTTGTCCTTTCTATTTAAGCAAAAAGAAAGAAAAACATTTGTGCTTTCTTTTTCATTATCACCGCATACATTTACAAGAAATCATTTTAAAATAGGGGGAAAAGAACAGAAAGTAAAAGCAAATACTAGATGCTAAATTGAGTATTGTCTGACCTCGAGCTGCCCGGTTCTCACTGTCATTGTACGGCCGGTGTAAGAATTAAATGTTGCAAAAAAGTGTTAGTGGTTTATTCAGTAAAAATATTGTTGCTATTGGTTTAACGTTTAAGGTTATTTCCACTACGTGGTTGCGATATATGCATGTATAAATGCGAATTTATATGTCAAAAATATATATTCACTTCAAAAAATCAAATGTGAATTGAAAGTGCAAATCAGGTGAATACATATTATTCACTTTTTATTAGTTTAATTGACGTTTATTATTGATGTTTGAAGTAAATAAAAAGAATCTTTTAAATAAAAAGAATCTTTACAAGGCAAAAGTATTTTATGTTGCAGTGATGATGAAGAGTATGCTGATGTGGATTGGGACAACCTCGGATTCAGTCTTGTAAGGACAGATTACATGTTTGCCACCAGAAGTTGCAGAGAAGGAAACTTCGAACAAGGCTGCCTTAGCCGTTACGGCAACATCGAGCTCAACCCTGCTGCTGGAATTCTCAACTACGGGCAGGCAAAAAGCTTCATAACTCATCCAAAAAAAATCACAAGAATTCCTCACATAATTAACAAAATTTCTTGATGTCAAAAAAAAAAAAAATTAACAAAATTTCTGGTGGACTTTGCAGGGACTTATCGAGGGGATGAAAGCGTACAGAGGAGAAGATGGTAGGATTCTTCTCTTTCGTCCAGAGTTAAATGCTATACGTATGAAGGAAGGAGCAGAGAGAATGTGTATGCATTCTCCTTCTGTTTATCAGTTTATTGAAGGTGTTAAGCAGACTGTTCTTGCAAATAGACGTTGGGTAAAACATTCAATCGTTATATCTTTGTTCCTCGATAGGTATGGTCGGCAGGACCGGCCCTGGACCTAGCCCAATGATACATTAACCTCAGACCCCATCTTTTTATAGGCGTCCAAATAATAAAAATCTAAATATGTAATCTATAATTATGGATAATAATTAATGGGCTTCGAGTATATTATAACTTTATTAAATATTTAATTGATTGGGTCAAATAACACAATGACCCAATAAACTTTTAAACAAGATTCTGTAAAGTTAAAAATTTTGACTAATGTTTTTTTCTTGCTAGTTTTTTCCTCAAAAATATTGATTTTGTTTATTTTCCTTCTAAAGGTCACCTATCATCAAGTATTGTTTCACTTTCATTATTTTTTTCACTACCTTATCAATTTATTTTTATTATATTTTAAATATAGTATATAGGTCCCCAATTTTTCAGGGTCGGCTCTGATGGTCGATCCTGAAATTTTATGAGCTATAGTCAATTTAGTAAGATTTTTGAATATAAATTTGTTTTTTTACAAATTTAGATACATGTATTTATGCAAATTATTATAATTTTGGAGGTTATATTCCAATATTTCATTTACTGCCTCAACGGTTTTTTTTTTTGCATTAGGTTCCTCCTCCGGGAAAAGGCTCCTTGTATCTCAGACCGTTATTGTTTGGAAGTGGAGCAAGCTTGGGTTTGTCTGCAGCATCAGAGTTTACATTTCTTGTGTTTGGTTCTCCTGTTCAAAACTATTTTAAGGTCAGTTTTTTTTTCTCGTTTTTCATACAGTGATCAATCTTGATTCTTGAATTTGATTGTTTGTATAGGACGGAACAGCAGCATTGAATCTCTACGTTGAGGAGGTGATCCCACGAGCGTATCTTGGAGGAAGTGGTGGCGTTAAGGCCATTTCTAACTACGGTCCAGTAAGTTAAAACACTCTTTAGGATATGGTTTCAAGTACTTAAGTGTTTTGTTCATAAGTGAGTCTTGTGTTTGGTAATAAAATGTGATAAAAAGGTGCTTGAAGTGATGAGAAGAGCGAAAGCGAGAGGGTTTTCGGATGTATTGTATCTAGACGCAGAAACTAAGAAGAACATAGAAGAAGTTTCTGCTTCTAATATATTCCTTGTCAAGGTAAGTGGAAACTCTTTTTAAAGAAACAAGTTGAATGCTTCTTTTGCAATGTAAATATCTTGAAATCTCTTGAGTTGTTTTCAGGGGAATACAATAGTGACTCCAGCTACAAACGGGACGATTCTTGGAGGGATCACGCGAAAGAGTGTAATTGAAATTTCTCTTGATCTTGGTTACAAGGTTAGTTTCATTCCTCATCTTTGTTCCTCTAACTTTGCCTTTCCTCTTGAGGCAAAACAGAGCATATACACACAGAAAACTTACTTGGAATCCAAGAAACAGTGTTTCTAGTGCTCTGTCCATGCATTATCCTACTTTGTTGCAACTCTTCTGCATATGTATATGTAAAGTATGTTATGAACAGGTGGAAGAACGGGTTGTTCCGGTAGAAGAACTGAAGGAAGCAGAAGAAGTTTTCTGCACTGGAACTGCCACTGGAGTTGCTTCTGTTGGGAGCATCACGTTTCAGAACACAAGGTCTCTTTTTCTTCTTCTTCACATGCATTGAATATATGTATATGGTTAGAATTATACATTTTATATATTGATAAATCTGCAGGACTGAGTACAAAGTGGGAGAAGATGGGATTGTTACGAAGCAACTTAGATCTATTCTTGTTGGAATACAGACTGGTTCTATCCAAGACATTAAGAATTGGGTGTTGGCGTTAGATTAATTTGAGAGAGAAAATAAATAAATTGTTATGTTGCACTCTTTGATGTATCAAAAGATTTGGAACTCTTTGTCTAATGATTCATTTGAGTCAAAAACTTATAAAACTTTCACAGATGTTTTCTTGCTTCCCTTCATTTTCTTACAGTACAGTAGTAGTATCACATCAGTTAGTTCAGAGGAAAATGAGTATTTAAATCTCCAACTATTTGAAATCAGCATTTTTAATACCCAATTATCAATTAAGTAGATTTAATTTTGAAGTTATAGTTGACTGTATAAAATTACACTTAAGTAATTTCATGAATCAGGATCTTCTTTTTTTGGGTTCGAACTTCGAAACCATGCGTTTACTAATAAGTTGTATGCTTGGTTGGGTTTCTTTGGAATTTTTTTTTCTGGTGAATGTTTCTTAAACATATTCCATTTTTGGTGAATCATACCACTTAACCTAACACTGCGTATCTTACCTTTTTCGTTTGGTTTGGTGACTTTGGTCGAACTGCGGTTGCATATAGTCTCTTTTAGAGAAACTTGTTTGTCGAATTTGTCTTTTGAAAACGTGCATTCAAGTACATAATTATCTTATTAGATTCTCTGATTCGATACGAAAAATAGGATTAGAGATTTTGTCAAAGAAATTTGGTTCGTAGATAGTCTCCACTAGGATTTGATTGAATTGATATAAAAATATTATCTATATATAATAGCAAACCGAAAGTGACATCAGCATTTTTTTATAGGAAAAAAAAATTCAATCCAATGGTCGTAGTTAATTTGATTTTAAAATCTAATGGACCAAAAAAACCCTTCTCATATGATTGATGATATCATCAAATATTTGGTAACTCTTCATTGAAGAGACATATATTTCATAACTCTTCATTGAAGAGACATATATTTTATTTTAACTATATATAATAGCAAACCGAAAGTGATATCAGCATTTTTTTATAGGAAAAAAAAAATTCAATCCAATGGTCGTAGTTAATTTGATTTTAAAATCTAATGGACCAAAAAAAACCTTCTCATATGATTGATGATGTCATCAAATATTTGGTAACTCTTTATTGAAGAGACATATATTTCATAACTCTTCATTGAAGAGACATATATTTTATTTTAATACCCACAATTATCATATTTTTTCATAAGTTTAAATATTAATATTGATTGTCTAGAAGATATCTATACTATATTAAAAGGGGAATACTCTCCCCTCTCAGCTATGCCACGTCCTCAAATTTAATAGACCAATAGGATTTGAAGATACGGCCACGTCAGCGAGAGCTTAGGATTTCGAGTGGGCTTCGTTTCCATTTAATTTTGTTTGGTTCTTCACCATTTGGGCTTCAAATGTTTCTGTATAGCCCATATGAGAAGTCCCTTTCCCCTTTCCACGATTACCAAAATCGATTCAGAGACCCTTCCACTTGGTCTTCTTCATTTTGTTCGTTACATCAGTCTTTAATCTACGAACAATCAGTTATCCCCCACTCATGTACACTCTTGATTCTCATTAATATATTCTTTTCGCTTCCCCATCTTAGCTTCTCTATAAAATCTCTTTTTCGAAGTTTTATTCCGTCAAAAGTTGTTTTACCCTCACGATTATAGATCAAACGGCGAAGCGGCGGTCCCCTCCGGTCCGGTCAAACCCGTCGCCCAAACCGGTGTCTCTTCCCGCAATCTCATCTCAACGAAATTAAAAGGCGCTGATCGTATTGCTTACGTTCATACCCTCAAGGAGGAAGCGATTCCGATTGCGAACCAGACTGGGATTATGAAGGATAACATCAGCATCCCCATCTATTTTGAGTTTTTTGTTTGATTTTGGTTGTGTGTTTTTTTCAGATTGAATCCACATTTGGCGTCTTATAGCGTTGAGAATCCCATCTACGTTGTGATGCAGTTAGCTCAAACAACTATGCGTAGTGAACTCGGGAAGATTACTCTTGACAAGACGTTTGAGGAACGTGATATGCTGAACGAGAAGATTGTGGTTCGTCTTCTTTTGCCCTTACTTGAGCTTATTATATCATGTCATGGTCAGTGATGTTAAACGTAAAAACTTTTAGTGGATGTTGTTATGTTAGTGCTGGTTTGATGTTTTGTTTTAGTGGAAGGGTCTGAGTTTTGAGTTTAGTTTGTGTTAGATAGAGTTTCATTATGCATTTGTAGTATCTAAGCTTGCAGTTGGTAATTGTTTAGCTGTTTTGTTCATTTTCCGTCATTACTTGCTATTAGTTTTGAGTTTACTTTGCAAGATAAAGAGTATAATAGTATACCAGTGGGCAATATATTATGCGTTGGTAGTTTATGTAATGGATACCACAAGCATATGATGATTTTAAGACGGAATTGTTCTTGCAGGAAGCCATCAATGTTGCTGCAAAAGATTGGGGTCTTGAGTGCCTTCGTTATGAGATTACTGCGTACTTTTGATGTTCATGGTCTTAGCTGAATATTATCCATTTTGCGTATTTCTTATTGAATGTGTAACCAGGGGATATCATGCCTCCTAATGGAGTGAGGGTTGCTATGGAAATGCAAGCTGAAGCTGAGCGTAGAAAGAGAGCTCAGATTCTTGGGTCTGAAGGTAAATTTCCATGGCTTATCTTTGCTAACCTATGCTCTGTGGTTGAACTGTGTGCTTACTACATCTTAGTTCGTTCAAATTCTTGGCTTGAAAATACACTATAAAGCCTGCTCAATTTGTTTCTCATGATTTGTTTTTCTTACTTGAATAGGAGAACACCAAGCCCATATCAACATCGCTGATGGTAAGAAAACTCAGATAATCTTGGAATCAGAAGCTCCGAAGATAAACCAAGTCAACAGAGCATCAGGTTATGATACAACTTAATATGTCTTCGCTCTGCAGAGAAAGGAGTACCAGATTTTGCACTGAAGACCAATGAAATTGACGGTGATTTGTTATTAGGATTTTTTTTTTTTTTGTTTAAGGAACTGTGATTTTATTTCTTGATGTTTTACCCCATGATTATAGATAATAAGCTTGGTGAAGGAACTCTCAAATCTTTCAAAGATATCAAATCGAACAGAGTTGTGAACTAAAAGAGCTCATGCGTGAGCTTTTCTTTGATCAGAACTCCTATTTCAACAGCCACGTCTTCACCAAGACATATCACATGTGGATCAGAACTGCAGTTTTTGTTTCTTGAGACAAAGTCTTATTGATCTTTAACAGTTTTTATATAGCCAAAAATGAGAAGAGAAAGAGACAAGAGATTCCCGAATATGTTAAATTTGAACCTTCGTTTTTTCAGTTTTCACTAGAAGAATAGAGTAAGCAGCAATCATGAAATCTTATCTGGCAAAGAAGCTTGGATTAGTTAAGAAAAATAAGAAAAGAAAATAGCCAAGTCTTAGACACGAGGTCATATTCATAATTTGAATTCCTTGCCTGATTTAGATGATTTAAATGTAAAAGTTTTGGTGGTAGGTTGCTTAAGAAATTT